ATATATTATTATGTAACATCTGTTCATTCACTAAATAAAAACGTCTTCATTTATGGTAACTGTATTTAAAATCATACATAATCTGAAATGTTATTTCGTAAAATATTTTTTCCTTTGGAAAGCAGCCAGGTGTCATGTTCTATGTTCACTTTTATTTTATAATAAAACCTAAGTGGTTCAAGGTCCACAACTTGAACAACAGTAGAAAAAAAAGCTCAGTTTTGTGGGATCAAATACATTTGTTTACAAAAACTATATGTGTAAAAGATGTTTATTCTAAATAACTTTTGGAGAGATGACGTTCATGGTAACACTCAAACTGCTCCAGTTTTGGGAATGATTGAATCTATTTTTTGTAAACATCTCAATCTGCTGTCTCTTATGGAGACAACAGGTCCAGGAGAGAAACCCAGACCTCCCTCTCCCCAGAGCTCGTCCTGAGGGACCCTGAGGTATTCCCAAGCCAGAGAGTCCTCCCCCAGTCCTCCTCCCAGTGGGACGTGTGGAACACCACTAAAGGGAGGCGTCCTTATCTGATGAACCATCTCAACTGACTCCTTTTGATGAGGAGGAGCAGCGGCTCTACTCCGAGCTCCCCTCAGATGATGGAGCTCTGTAGTGTCCAAAGAGTGGGGGGCCTCTTCTCAGGAATGCACAGATGTGATGTCTCTTGGTCTCTAGCTTTAGGGCTCGGCACATATGACCATATTAGGAAGAAGAACGCTTAAGGTATACCGTGACAAGATTTATGGTACATCTGTGAAAGCCTATAAAGAGCCTTGTATGCCCCTGCTCTTGGCCTTCGTCTTCATCTTCTTCCTTGGTGAATCATTTGGTTTGAAGGCCACAATTTGGTTTTTGGCTGTAATCTCCTGGACTGCAAAAATAAAGATTCTTGCTGTTCAACCAGCCTTTTTTCAGAGTCCTCTCTTCATTTTGCACCTCAGCTCCTCCCCCTATCTCTAAGGCTGAGCCCGACCCACCCACTTGTATCAGGATCTGGTTCTTTCAGTCCTGATCCACGCCTCATGGCCACAGGTGAGGGTTGGAACAAAGACAGACCAGTAAATACAGAGCTTTGCCTTTCAACTCCGCTCTTTCTTCACCAAGACTGACCGAAGCAACGCCCTCGTTACTGAGACCCCAATTTGTTGATCCGTCTCCATCCTACCATCACTGGTGGACAAGACACCCAGATACTGAAACTCCTCCACTTGAGGTAGAGACTCTCCCTCCAGTGCACATTGAAGGTCTGAAGCCAACAGAAACACATCATCTGCATACAGCAGAGAGAAGACCCTGTGGTTCTAAACCAGACCCCCTCCTCTCCATGACTGCACCCTGAGCTCCTGACCATAAACACTGCAAACAGGATCAGAGACCAGGGACAGTCCTGGAGTCCAACCTGAACTGACAACAAGCTTGACTTTGTATAAAGCTCATGGACACAGCTCCTGCTTTGGTTATTATGCAAATAATTAAAGCTGCAGCCAAACGTAAAAGTAGACCATCTTGGTAACACGTCCTAAACATTTCAAAATAAAACTTAACTACCGGTAGTTTAACTGGATTATGAACTGTTTAACTGGACAAATCAGAGGAAATAAAAACAAACTCCATAAAGAAGCATAAAGAATAAAGACACTTGTTCCTGGTGAGGATCTGATGGTGCTGAACACAAACTGAACCAGCTGCAGTCAGGTTTATTTACAAAGAGATGCAAAAAGTCTGGAAAACGGGAACCAACCTGCTGTGAAGATGAACTGAGAGTTAAATATTCAGGCATCAGGATGAAATGTTCTTTAGAAGGTAAATCTGAGTCCTTACATGTTTTATTTTCAGACATGAAGAGGAGGGAGAAAATCCAGCAGAGCTTCCATGGAGGGATGATGTGAGACTCATGGCCGACAGGTGCAAACACTCTCCAAACAGAACAAAAAATGTTTTGTAATTTTAAAAAAATTAAAATGAGCACACGCACACACACTCTTTGTGCCCATTATAAACAAAAAAATGCTCCACAAACAAAAAACCCTCAGCAAACAGGAAAAAAAATGCTGCAATGATCTCCAGTTTTGTAAACAAATACACCATTATTTATAAAATTGTAATTCTGCAGCGCATTTGGTTTTAATGCAGCCTAATAAGAACTAGACATGGGTTTTTACGATGTAAAAACAAGTGTGCATTGCCTTGTAGCATGTCTTTACCTGCAGCAGTGGACTTGCAGTATGAAATGTGACCAAGTGTGTTTTCTAAACCAGCTTGTGCCTGTCACGTCAGCAGGTGTTTGTATTAAGGKTAATTGTGTGACAATATGAAGTTTGTAGAGATTTTCTGTTAAAGTTACTGTTGCTGGGTTTCRAACCCTGATCTCCTACATGAAAGTCCATTGGCACTAACCATGAGATCATTGGAGCTGTGGTAGAGAATGAGGCCAGGATTTGRTTTGTATGTGTGCAGAAAGTGGCCACATTGCCAATGTAATGGTTGTCACTAAATTGAAAAATATTACAACAATAAAGCAAWATTAGGACAATATTATAGTAAAACATCAAAATATAATCATATTAGTATTGTAAACACTGAACTATTGAGATTAAATATTATTAAACTATGGTTCAGTATTGAGTAGATACAGTAGGGGGCAGTATTGGACCAATACAAGGCTCCATTGTCTCCCATTACAAATTATTAAACATTAATATTTCCAAAAATATAAGTTGAACAGGCACCAAAGGTTATAGCCATCATTTGGCACAGGAGCTTTACAAATATAAATTACAATAGCAGCTCTAGGACAAAGTATGCAGGAGGAGAAGCATGCCAAAGTGGAGATTACTTGGATGAGAAACGAATCACAATGATTAATGCTTTATTCAACCTCTTAACCAATATAAAAGACAATGCACAGTATAAAATGATTCACCATACTAAACAAAGCAACAATATGGTACAGTTATTATACATAACTATGTACAAGACAAAAGTGTTCAAATGTCTTCACATGTTTTGGGTTTTTAATGACAGTTTAAATATACCCAGTGGCTTGAATTAAAACAGTATCCTGTTACTGGAACAAAGTCCTTCACACAGATGCTCTCTGCATTTAAGCTGCACCGCTGGGTAGACTGTTCAGATCTCAGCGGACCATCCTTGAGTTCTTCTCATGTGGGTTTCCTTCAGGTACTCCGGTTGCAGGTTAGGTTTACTGGAGTGTTTATACTGACCGTGTGTGTGTGTGTGTGTGTGTGTGTGTGTGTGTGTGTGTGTGTGT